GTATGTCACACACCGGTAAAGTGTTCAGTTTCTAATCTGAAAACCAGTGGTTTGAATGTAAGTGTCCACTGTATGGAGAAGTAAACTTACTATTGTTCCACATAAAAAATCAGTATCTTAAATTTCTACTTATCAATTAGCTGGTGTTCTTACAGCCAACTGTACTTGTGCGACAATATTTATTATTAATAAATCATGTTTGTCATTATTACTTTCCAATGAATGTCTCAAACAACTTAAAAATATTAATAATGGTCAAAGATACATTAAGTGCATTGCAACCTTGACATTAACATTTTCAAAATACAATTCTTTTTGACTATCAAACTACACACACTCAATAAACATAAAATTTAAAAATCAACATTTATATCTTTACGTGCATTTTAAGTAACATATTTGCATTACAAATTTATACCCGGTTCTGTATTAAATTTCAGCTTTCAAATTGCTCACATCTGTTAAATTGTGTCGACCATACGTGACAAAGAAACAAGATCTTATTCTGAATCTGTAATGTGTCAGTTAAGATTTTATAATGTACACATATTAGCTGGCATTGCAAAAGAAGCTTTACTGTAGATTATATGACTTGGTATAAAGCACTACATAATATGTTTTAAGTAAATTGAGCAGAAAACAACTTATTTAACTACATGCTAACTCTGTTTAGTGGGATGGATACTGTTTTGATTAGGAGACAAGGATGCTTGGTGGAGGTTTTGTTGTTAAATATGGTGGTGGTGATGACAATGATAATGATGCTTGATGATGATGAAGGCATGAATCAACAAAATATGATACAGGGTTGATGATAGTTATGATGATGATGCTTATTCTGTTACAGCTACTGTACCACTGATGAATTAAGATGACGACAATGAGGACGATGACAACAATAAAGATGGTTGAAGATGATGATTCCACTTATTTTTTACAACTACAATTTAACATGCTAATATTTTTCTCATTCCTTTACTGTCTATGGTAATTACAGTACAGTAGTGAAAATGGGTAGGTTCTGTAGGTTATAGTTTAAATTCCTAAAGGAGCCAAGCCTAATTAGAGTCAATCATGTAGTTTCACTGTAAAGATACTTCGTTGTGATTGTACAGTAATAATAAAGAAGAGAGCAATAAAATGAATCATTTCAATAAATCCTAATATTAAACACTGCCATACTCTAATAATAATAAATAATAATAAGTGCACAATGCAGATTAGTTATTGCACGCATTATTCTTGGAAGACATTTTCAATTTTCAAGACATGATCAATGAATGTGCATAACACAATCAAAGTCTTTCTGTCTTTCACTGACAATAAATGACAACTGAATGTGTTCTTAGCAACTGATAATAATGGAAAGACACTGAAGTGCTATCTGCTTTACCCCTACAGTACTATATACCCCGAAAGGCATTAATTACCATGGGCAGTAGTACAGTAATGAGCATAATGTTGGTGATGCATTGACAACTTACAATGTGATGGACTTTCAAAACAAAATTATGTTGATGGTAGTAGCATGTAATACAGACAGATGGTATTAAAGCCTGTGGTGCTGTTTACCCAGATCTTAATCCTTAGAAAGTTATCTCAATGTCAGATGCTGTAAATTAACTGTAGGCCTACAGTATTTTAAATTTAGAATTTGGAATGATTTTTTTCAAGATATTTTTGATAGGCCTACTGTATATTACAATTAAATTAAACAATTTAAAATTTATAAGTTTGGATGGTTTTTAAAAAAAAAAACTTATTTTTGATGCCGAAATCATTTGCCTGCTAGCCACAATTAGGGGAGCCCCTTAACAAACTGTAAACTTTTTTATCACCTCATAAAATCCATGCAGCCATATTGCTGCACAATCTATACAGACATTTGCAATCAGTGTTCTGATAAAACAACAATATATTGCTCAACATGAATGTGCAATACCTATCAGTCATGAACAGTGAGTGCATGCTGGCATCTAAAGAATGTTCAATTATATTGATGCCATCATTTTAACTACACATAAATGATTTGCTATTGTTCTTTTTTGTTTGTTTGTTTTTTTTTTTTATAAATATGTGCCTGATGGTAAAATCTGATAAATTATCTTAAATCCAATTAAAGCATTGTTGACCTGTATGTTCTATCATAAAAACTGGAAAAACCACAAAAAATTCAATGATAAACATTGAATTGCTGGAATTCAGGGATCAATCAAATTAATTATAAAATTTTCAATGAAAAACAGATCAAGTGCTCATTTATTTACAGACGTTCTGATACAAAAATCCTTAAAAGGGGTACCACAAAATTTTAAAATCTACACAGATAAGGAAGATAATGTGGTGGTGGTCTACTGTAGGGGCCCGTTTGAGCGAAAAATGCCAACCGGGCCATTTACTTCACCGGTTAATTGCGCTGAGCACTCAGTAGGTGGTCGACCATTGGTGCAAGTTTTAGCTCACATTAAATACCGTGTAACTTAACTACTTCAGAAGTAAATTACTTATACCATGGACAACCCATCCTCTGTTTACTTTCTACTGCTGCTAAAACCGTCCACGTACCCACAGCGTAGCACGCGGGAACAATATTTGAGATAACTTTATAAAATTTTAAAATCTGTACGTACTGTAGGCTAGCTTATTCAAGATTATTCGTCCAAATAATCGTGAATCTACAAATCGAAGGCATTGATATGCTACTAGCCACCTTTATGGCGCCAATGATGTGATGTTATGCTGATGGATGGACTGTCCAATCCAACTTTGATTTTGTCGTGCATGTGAGGATGGCGAAGGAGAGATGCAACCAGGCCTGGGAATTTCACACTGGACTGTGGACAAGACATTTAAAAAAACAATTATCGCCACCTCAAACTCCATGGTCATTTCCATACACAGTATTCTACTCAGCAACTTGGTGGTCAAAATTGTCACGGATAATCCAGATTGTAAGATAATAGGCTAGTGTCAAAGTGTGTACCAGTGAATTAACTGGTAAATCGCACGGATAGTTTTTCGCTCGAATGGGCCCTAGGTGAATCTGTCTGGACAGGGGTGCTTGGAGGGAATGCAAAGGGGTATTAGTGTGGTCTCGGTGAGTATCCAGACTGGGGGTGCTTGGAGGTGATGTAGCCTCTGCCTAGCGTATTTTATTAGATTGTTATATGTATGCAACCAAACCCAAATTTGAATGGTACAGTATTTCTTGAAAGAGGGGCCAAATATCAGTCTATGTAGCAATTTACAACTTCTTATCTTTGTTATTGCTTCGTAAAAACCGTAAAGTTAAAGGAACCATACCGGAATGAAAAAGGGGGCATGGTACCTAAATTTTTAAAGCTGAAAAATGGCTTGGAAATTGAAGCTGAAATTTTGGATTCTTTCTTTTGACATTTAGGATGTTTCAAAGGAAAATCCAAGGAGGGTCACAGGAACATGGTGGTTGATTTTAACTGGAATGACCCAAAATATTACACAAATCAATGGTGATGTTGGTAGTCTATGAGTGGATACTCAAAAAAAACAAATAATATTTTTCAATATCAGACAGATTAAAACAGTTCACTTATTACTGATTTTCATGTATATTACTAAAACACTAACTAATTTAGAGGTGTCTACAGTATGTACAGTAAAATGATAGATAATATTAATTGCTATGCCTCTCTTAACGGGCAAGAAAATATTTCCTTGTTCTTATTTTCAATTCAAAGCTAATAACTTGCCATTATAAGCAATTCAAATATTGAATTATTGTTCAAGTTTTTAAGCTCAGATAACTAGATGACCTTTAAGACCCAAATGTATGAATCTTCAATCCTAATAGCAAGATAAAACCTACAAGTATGCACACAGAGCTCAAATCACTATCAGATATGATAAAAATAATGATTGCAATCATTATTGAGTTATTCGGTTTTTATCACAAAAAAAAAATTATTTAAAAACAACAATCTCAAATTTTTACACATTGGAAATTTCATACAGTAGAGTACAGTATAGTATTCATTATATTCATTCATGGGAATTATGTGATATTGTGTGTAATTTATGTAAATTTTAATTATGTACATGACTAATTTGCATAATAAAAACACATGTATCAAAAGATATAGACGCCTTCTTCTTACTGTCATCTTGCATCCTACCAAACATTTTGGTATATTGTACAGTAGGTAAGCCTATTGTTTTACTGATTCTCCATTGAACTCCACATAGAGACCTGCAGGCCAACAGTAGTATCTAAACAACATTTGTATCCGGCAATAGGCCTATCCTTCTATTTTATACCTTGCTATTTTCAAATGATTCATAGGGCAAGGTGTTGAATCAAATGTTTATACAAAAGTGAAAGTAATTCGTGATCCGGTTCTGAACAATAATTTGGAACAAGAAATTTAACCTAAGCCTATTCCTTAAACTAAACATGGTTGGCCGTGAACTCCATTATATAACTGTGATTTCTCTCTATCAGGAAATTTAAGTTAACATAAGATAAATTTTTTGCTACCATTGTAACACAAATAATTTTTTACAGATATCTCCTGGACTATGTGAAACAAATTTAATGTCAAGAATTTTATTGTATACTGAGAACAATGGATATTTCAATATTCATAATGTACTATCAATTTATACAAGTCTAACCCTGTGATGACATTATGTTTTATTATTATTGGCCAGGCAATTTTCGCCATGAAATCAATAACACCCATGAATCACATAGAACATACAGTACATGCACATGAAAAAATATGTGAATAAGCTTATACTATGAACAGGCAATACGATATATTTACTGCATTTAGTCTTCATTATTTAACACTGTGACCAGCTCTATACATTGTACAGAACGTTTAATAAGCATCATCATTATTTGTGTTAATCTCTGCAGATCATCTCCCATGACCCATTATGAATGAATGTTATTCTATGATGTTGATTATCTCAACTCTATTTCTTTGCCTTGTACTTTATGTTCAAATCTAGGGCATGTATATAGATAGTATGTGAGTAGTAACATTACAGGATACCAAGAATGCATATTTTTGCACAAACATTGTTATTATCATTATCACCATTATAACAATTCTAAATTTGATGTGTCCCATCTGTACTCAGTTGCATTTTTTCATTGTTGTTTATTGCTGTTTTGTGTTTTCAATGTTTGTGGATGATCAGTATGATAACCAACTTACCCAAAAGAATACATAAAAAATTGTAAATAAATATCAATCAATCAATCAACTATAAAACCTCATGGCTCAAATAAAATTGTATTATATTAACCTGATATTGAATGGAGTTAATTTGCTGAGGATGTCAAATATAATTGACTCTAAAGAGTCTATCATGTTTGATGTTCACCAGTAGAGTCAAAGGCTCATTTGATTTTGTTATTTACTTTCGGTAACACAAAACGTGCAATGCAAACAATTGTTGGATGTTATATTCTATTAATGTATGCATTATTAAAGAAATGTCCACCAACCTTGCCATTCTCAGCTGAGCAATCAATACATCCAACTTGGATATTTCCATGGTTCGCCCCAGGAATAACCTGCACATGTTTGAGGTTGCTATCGAGAATCACAATATCGCAGCCTGATGCGTAAGCCTAAGTTGAAGACAAATAAAAAACAATCAGAAATGGCATTTCAATATATACAGTATAACGTTAGTATTAAATATAAATTAGGAAAGACAATAGCGCGACAGAAAATGCAAGAAGCTGTGGAACGAATGCTAATTGCTGGGAGGTGACAATGATGAATGTTAAAAGGAATAGTATACCAATATATTACAGACAGAAGGCTGAGATACAGTAATGGTGCAGAATGAATCTTAAATTGAAAATTGATTGGACTTTTTTTCCATTAGATTAAAAGCAGTTGGCAAAGAGTTAACTTGGGGGACGATTCTAAAAAAGATTAGCAAAATATTATAATTAATGAGATTTCTTAAATGATGAATAATGGCTTAGAAAAAAAATATGTAACATAATTTTGAACATTTCACTGCAATAGTATTCTACGAAAATGTTTAGTCAATGGAATGTCTAATGCGAAAGTTACTTGAATGCATATTTTGTACAGAGATCTTTATTATCAAGATCTCTTACTGTAAATACCCTTACTAATATAATACCCATCTTCATCTTCCCCATTTTATCATCATCTTCATCATACAGTAGCCAGCTTCATAATCACAGCTATATCATCATCATCTGTATTTTATACCATCCTTTTCATCACCAACTTATCACATTAATCCATACCACCATTAATTATTTACAGCACCCACATCTTCATTCATTATCACCATTTTCGCTACCCTCAATGCCTTTCCATGTTCATCACTAATTCACCCTTCGTACTCTTCCAATTCACTATCTTTATTCACCGCCATTGTCGTGGTCATCATTATTATACTAAAATATCACTACTGTATGTGATTTAAAAATAGTTGTCCTTGGTGGCTATTCATTTGGTAAAAGCTGTACACAACAATAAGTTAATTATTAAACAATCATGGATGGAGTTAAGGTAAAGTTATAATCAATAACAGTTAGATGAAATGCCAGAGCTGGCAATACAGTAATCAGTTCATTATAATAGTGAATAAACTGCTTTAATTACCAATGCACTCTTCAACTTAATGACATTGATAATTCTTTATTTCCATAAAATTAAAATGGAAAACAAATCATGATGATAGTGGCAGAGCAACATACAATTATTATTTCATGTATTCGCGATTAATTAAATTTAAAGCCAGCTCTGGAGGAAAACAATATTTTGATATGTTGTACAATTCATTTTTCTAATACCCGATTCACACGTACAAAAATCTTACCAAATGTAACAAAATGTAACCAAAAGTAACATTTTATGGCACGTGCAAAAGTACTTCCATGTAATATCCTTGTAATATCTTGGAATGTCTCGGTAACCTTGCTACATCTCGGAAGAGCCTCAGCTTCCGTTACTTTTTGTTAAATTTAACTTCACGTGTGAATCGGGTATAAGACACAAAATAGATGGGAAACTTGGAAACGGATAATGACAGATCTTTAATTAGTTTAAAAACTGGTGGAAATGGGACATAACCACCCTGTATTCCAACTTTTTTCACTAGTTTGTAAATATTAAAAATATCAGTGTCATTAACCATTTTTTTTTATTGTGTCTTAGAAAAATCAGTTACAATATATATATTGTAACTGATTTTTCTAAGACATATATCAAAAATTTGCCTCCCTCTGGAGCCTGGCTTTAGGAGTATGGCCGGCAGAACCAGGGAGGGGCTGGGGCCCAGGCCCCTCCCACTTTTTGGTAGAAAATATGTCTATGCAGATTTTTGTATGATCGCAAAGAAATGCTAGTGGCCCCCTCCCCCACTTTTAAAAACGTTCCGCCGGCCCTGAGAAAACCTCATATAAATATGGAAAAATACCCACTGCCTCACTATCATGTAGCCAATCATAATTAAGACCTCATGGATACTAAGGAAGAATGCAAAGTATCACATGGCCAAGTTTACTTTAAATAAATGTACATTATTTGAAGACATCAATCTACCAGCATTAACATTTTTCTTTCATTTTAAGCTTTCCTTAAGTAGTCAACAGCACTGTGTGACAGTAAAAATAATTATATGTAATTTGTAGTGAAGAAACCAAAATATGCAAATGGATATTAAAAATAGAAAAAATGATCTAAAATTACAGTAACAATGTGGAATGATACTTGAATCAGAATTTTTTACATGGACAATTCATCGTACTTATCAATTTTTTTTATATAATTTATGAATAAATATTTTTTATTGCGCTTAACAACACAAAATATACAACAATAAAAAAATCTAATGTACTGTATTACGTATTGTCTCATATTTTTGACCTTGAATAAATTACATAGTACAATAACATACAATACAAAGATTTAATCGCTTGATTTCATAGAAACAAATTGTAAGGCCTTGAGAAATTCTGTACTTGGTTGTCACGCTTTCTATTTTTAGTATCTTAATTGCGAAATTGAAAATGTTACTTGGAGACCTGGAGAACTTAATAGCACACTTTCTTTTTGCTACTTCTTGTTGAAGAAATACAGACTACTATTGATACTACTAAAGTACAAAGATACTATACTAAATACTGTACTAGCATTGATGAGGAATTGACATTTGGCAGCAACACCCTTGCAATACGGACTAAGGCTACAGTAGTAGTATGATGTACTTTTTACGTAAATTGAAATCTCTTCTTGCACCTCTTCTACCAATTGGTTATTCAAACCACTTTGACGTGTACTTTTGGTTTAACTTCTAAAACATGCTTGGTAAAATTAGGAAATGTGCTAGTCCTATTATTGGTTTTGAACTACTGTATCTTCAATCACATGTTTGTTGCAGATCTTGCAGTTGCACAATTAAACTGTATTTAAAAGATTCTACACACGGTCACCCATTTCATAATTCATTGTCTTTTAACAGATCTGGTATCCTACTAAATGTTATTTGTACAAAAAAAAAATGACATAGGTATTCTTTCCTGCCTGATGCCATACCCATTTTTAATTAAAGGGTGGCACGGTGATTTGAGGGGGGGGGGGTGTGGCAAGTTTACACCGTTTTTGTTTCCATCTTAAATGTCTTTTAAGCTGACCTACTGTATTTATTACTACTGTATTGTGTTGATTTGTTGTATTTAGTTTAAAGCTGGCGGAAAACAAATTTCTGTACGATTGTATAGACGAAAAAAGTATCTGAGTATTAGAATAGCTAGGGGTCAGAGGTTAAATCCCAATGAACAAAATTGTTATAAGCCGATAAGATGAGGATGATTGCACTTCAAACACTAATTAATTAATTAATGTATAGTACAAAGAAAAGCTTTTTACACATCAATTTTAGTATAGTGCCAATAGCTAACCAGTAACAGGTTGACTATGCTCCTGTACAATCTGTCAGTTTGATATTTAACCTATTGTGCTAGAGTCAGGGCAATTCAGTCTGATCGATACTACGCAGTCACTGCAGCGACTACAGAGTTTTAACTCTCATAAGACCAGGGAGTTGTTATAGTGACTGGAGATCCAACGCTGGCCTCTAAACAGCGATCATAGCCTAAAGGCACAATAAACCTATTAAGAACAAACGAACCCCCAATTACGAAAGCCATTTACGAGCGATAACGAGGCCTTTGATGTACTATCATACAGACCGGCTTCAACAGCGCAGCACCGCAGTGGGAGGCGAGGACATGAACAACAAACCAAGTGTCCGATGTTACTCCAATAGTAAAACCCTATGCGCAGTTTAAAGTTCATAGTTCAACTATTGTTCTTCGGATGCTCTGTTGATCAGCATTTCGCGGCCTATATTTCACCGAAAAAAGCACAAAAATCTGATAATTTTTCGTTTGTCTGTACTCATACGAAAATATAGCTATCATTTATAATGTCTATAATATTAGATGATTTTTAAGCAAGATTGAAACACTTTCCTAACGGTTCCTATCGATGAAACCTCGTGTTATTGGTGCGTAAACATGTGTTCGTACTCCTGGTACTCAACAATAAACTGTGCCCATGCGTGTTTGTAGAGAAAACCTCATTATATATTCGATGATTTGGCAGGTGGTGACGTCATTGAACATGGTTTTTGTTGGCGATAGTTCCTGTTTAGTGGCATAGGCCTATGTTTTACATGTATAGTTTTCATGGTTGGATCAGGGAGTTAGATTAATCCTGATTTAATGATAAGGAGTGGGTGTGTGTGTGTGTTATGTTTTTTTTATATTTCCTGGTGTTCCTCTTTTAATTAAATGTTTATAAAATTAGTTTTAATGCTTTACTTTATTATTTTCAGATGAATATTAGTGCAGTGTATTAAGCAATCCAACTAAATAATATGACAAAAGGCGTTATTGACGGAATGAATAACTGATAAACAGAAAAATACATAAGAAATGATATGATATAATGATTATCAGTATATTTATTAAGAAATAAACATGAAATATGATAGTTTCACGTAATTACTTATTTCTTAGATATTATTTTAACGATGGATTCTATTTTACATTTTACCACTTCCAAACAATAATTGTCCAATGGACATATGCGCAAGATGTTTATCTCAAAACACCTCACCCCCTTCCACCACCACACCCCACCCCTCATGCACTGTTATGTGCGGATAAATCTAATAATTTAACCCGATTTGAATATGCAATGTGTTAATAACAGGGGCGGCGCCAGCGTATGAAATCTGGGGTGGGGAAGGGGAAGTGAGTGGAACGGTACAATGTGGGCGGAGGGGGAGGTCCCCGATGAGAACTAAGTGGGCATGGTCAGGCGTCCGTTAACATTTTTCGAAAGTGTTTCAAGGGAAAAAAAATATAACAATTTAAGGGTTTCATTCTTTCATTTAATGTAAAATTATTTTTCGTCAAAACCACATTTCTGAACATTTTGGAAAATGAAGAAGATAAAAGATAATACGCATTCAAAATAATAAATCACTATTCTTTATTGATGGTATAATTCTCTGAATTGGAATTTGTGTCAATTCTTGTAGTATCGTATACAGTTCTACTTCTTTTTGGTG